ATCCATCCATGCAGTTCCACACATTCTGTACAAGACGATGTCAGGTAGAGCTAACTTGCAGCACAGGGTACTGGTCTCTTGAATTTTTTATTTAAAGTGTGCTCTTATTTCAGTATTTTTAAAGTTTGTTTTTTTCATGGTGTTATCTTTCCATTGACTTAAATTTTCTTAGATTTGACAATATTTAATAAAGTCTGTAATCCACTAAATCTGATCTAGAAAACGCTGTCATTTTAACGTTTGACCCCGTACAGAAAGTTGTCCACTTTGGAGCTCCCGTCATATTTCTATTACTCATTAGCAGTTCCACCAACGAGTCATTTCCACTCCCAACTCCTTTCAACGTTTACTTAAAGAAAACATGATCAAGATTTAGTGACCTCCAGACACTTGTGTAAATATAGAATTATTAGTAATATTCTGTCATAGAAAACAAGGGTTACCAGGTCTCATATTCATAAGATGATCGACTTTCAAACTGGTTTTAATGGCAGGATAATGCTCATTTTAGATTTGAGGTCAGCAGAGAGCACCTTTTCCCCAGGATACAGGTGAAAAAAGTCCTCTGGTGTCAAACTCTGCAGTAAAAAAAGATCTGCTCTGTGAAGCTTGAACATCCAAGTAAAGAAAAGCATATTCTAAATCAGAGTTTGGCTAAAGGATGGAGTTTGAATTTAAGGACCATTGCCAGCTGCATACTTAATGCAATGACACCAGAATAGTGGATAATAAACGGGTGATTGAACATCTTCTAGAAGCAGAAACAGCTCCCTCTACAGGTAATAATTAGCTCCCCATTTGTACAATGGCAGATATTTGATTCAATTTGCCCCAAACTGTCTGTTCTCTGTAACAACCCAAATATCCTGCCTTATACACATACACAATCTTCTCCACACATGCTCACACACACACCGGTCACAGATATAAGGCCTCCCCAGACCTCCCGGGTGATCCGCAGTGGAGCGTGTAGCCACCTGTCAATCACCAGATCTTGGTCGCCTTAAGAGAGACATTTCGTCTGAGACAACGGCAGCCTGTCCCTCCCCATACATTCTGCCTCCCTTAGCAACCATGGCCGTGTGACTGAGGGGCTTTGTCCCTTCACAACGGGAGTCCGCCATTGAACCCAGAAGCCCGTAGCAACCAGAATTAGAGGGTGCCAGAAAGGGGTCTTTTTTTCTGTAACTGGGGGTGAAAGCTCTGTTCTTGTCCCTACGTCTGGGATTCATATCAGGGGCCTGAATGGCGTCCCCTCCTCCTTTTAAATGCTGGTGTAACGGAGCGTATGAAGGGGCTAGCGGTGAGCGGATAGGATCATGGATAATCTGCTGTTCCTCTCCACTGTGGTCCGATAGGGACACTTAAGCAGCCTCTGTGGACAGTCAGTGGTGTGGGGAGGCCTGTGGATACCTGGGGTGGGCAGAGCTTGGGGCTTCATTGGCAGGTTGATCACAGAGGTGAAAAAGTGAGGGGCAGTGTTGGAAGTACTCTGAACATTTACTTAGCTAAATAGGCCTACAAAATACAAAAAAATACCTTTGAATAAGAGTCAAATGTTCAAGAGCTTAGTCAATCAAAAGTTGAATTTGCCAAATCTACCTTTAATTTCAAACGTTCAGGAAGTTGTTCTGCAGAAAAGTGAAAGTTCAGAAAGAAGAAAATCTCTGCAGGAACAGGGAACAGACGGTTCAGTAGAGCTCAGTTAACATAGATGGGAAATGTACGGGTGGGTTGGTTTTAGGGACTTTCTTTTATGGCAGAAACTTACTTAAAATAAGGTAGCAGCTCACCCTCAGTTACTGCATATGTATGCAAAATATAGAAAGCAAATTGGCCAGGGAGCACCTTACAACCTGAGCATATAGGAAAAGATCACCTGTCAAACAAATACAGCATACAACTAAAGTAATTGTTCAGAAAGGAATCTTCCCCCCAATCGCTTTTTTATAAGTCACCCTATGCTGTGTTTTATGTCACCAGTTTGTCAGAAGACCACATGATTTATAATCATTAAACACCAAGTTCAGTGTAAAAAAGGTCCCAGTAGTTAAAATATGATGAGGGGTACCCACAGGACAATGAGTTCACCCTTTCTTGCAACTTCATCAGTCAAATTCATGAAGTGCAGACGAAAGTACAATATTATCCTCTGACATGTTGCGGAGTACAAGAACCTCAGAACTGCACAGAAAAATATGCACAAGACTGATAGTGGGAAATTCAGGCGCTCGATAAGGCCCTGCACCAGGTATAAAAAATGGATCTAAATGGTCGGAAAGGGGAGTTTTCATCTGCTGAGATGTAACCTTTGCTGGAAACTGCAGCTGTATGTGAAGAAAGTGAAAAGAGAATAGAGGAGTAAGTGCTTGACTCGTTTATGAACAGTTCTATGGACTTGTGGTCGCTTTCAATGGGGGATTTTACTGCTCTCTTTATGAGGGAGTGAACATGGATCCTGAACGCCTCTCTAAGTGCGGTAAATCTTCCGCACTGTAAAGTGAATTCAGAGGTGTTTTACTGCAGTGACTGACACATATCTGTAAAGATTAATACAGTCTAATGAAAAAACTGGCAGGCAACATAATAGCAGTTGCTCATATCACATTGTTTTCTTGGAATAATAGGAATAAAAAGCCAAATAGCCATCCCCAGTTGCTCTAACTCGACCTCCCACGTTGGACTTAGCCCTGTAGTGTTCTGTCCACTTTAAATCACCATGAGTAGAAGATTACAAACTAATCTCAACCTACAAACAACAACTCTGGCATGCAGAGAAAACATGCTTTTCCTGGTATGTTCTTTATCATTAATGAGCGTCTCTGCAGCCCCCTGTATGGGAGTATGTTTTGTGCAGCTCCTATTATATACTCTGGTCCTACACCCTTCTTTCCCACCCTCGACCTGTCAATCAAAGATCATGATTGAGCCCGGATGGCAGGCAGTCAGTCATCAGCAATGAAAGTGAGGCCTCATTCTCTGCCTGTCCCTCCCCCTTTTCATGCCCCCTTGCCTCCTGAAGTTTCTCCTTCTCACCTCTTCTGGACCCCCCTCTCCCTGTACAGTTTGTGGAAGTCACATATGTGGTCAGCATCTCTGCAGTATCGGAGAATGAAATCTTCAGACATGGCCGCCATAAGGCTTGGCTCCCTCAAACTTGGAGAGGACAGCCAGGCATCATTAATAAATAAGTACGATCTAGTTTGAACAGGCCTCTGCATTTGCCCTTTAAGCAGCTAATGAATAAACATGAGCAGAGTTGGGCGGGAACTGCATGGGGGTAGCATGAGAAGAGGCCCGGTTTGTGTGGGGTGTATACGTGTGTATGTATTGGGGAGGAGGAAGGGGGTATTGAGGGCAATGGGGCAGCCTTTCTTCCCAGCAGGGCTGCATCTCTTTTAATTGGAGCACTTGTGGCACCATTACCTCCTTTACTCAAACACGTTACTGATGACAAAAGAAAACAGTACTAAGCCTGCCTTTGTTAGCTAGGGGACGGGACGAGGAGATGGATTCCTCGCTGCTACTCATGTGTGGGAATCGTTCACACTCCCACCGTAAACTGCTGCTGGCGCCTTCGACCAAAGGAACAGGACAAGCACACAGGCAGGACATGGAAATCACAGCGAATGGACAGAAGGCCTGTTTGTCAGATACAGAAATAAACTGCACATTTATGGATGAGCATCAGGTTAACTAGGCGTTAGGGTTGCAATATTTTGTTTCTTTCTGAACGGATCGCCTCATGATGATTCTACCCAACAAATTGCAAAATAAATGGCACCACTGATCAGTGTATGAATCCACAGGAAAACTCTCAATCAACCTTTTTAAAATGATTGACTCCAGTGTATGTGTTGAGCCCTGTTATTGACCTTGCACTTTATCTTCCCTTTGACCCGAGGACATGAAGAGGCTGGTTTGTTGTTGGTCACCACAATGTCCCAAGAGAGCAATAAGGGAGTTTGACATTTGCCCTCAGTCTGACCCCACTGGCGAGGAAGCTCTGAAGGGTTCATAGATGGGACTATGAAGAACACGTGGGATCTGAGGCTTTTTCTTTGGGTGATAAATATTGTTAAATCTTATTAATCCACTATTTTCTACAAGTGCTCAGAGATATTCAGTGTTGCACAAAAAATGCTCGATTTGTGACATTTGTAAAAAGTGGGCACAACCCATATGACACAGTTATAAGTCGAAATAAGTGTTTATTAATTCTCTTTTTGAATTCTCAAAATTGAAATTAAATTTACAGCATGACATAAGTGTACCGATGCTTACAATTTCTAAATGTACAAATGTCAGGTGTTGACAAACTCATTCATTGTTTGCTTAAAAGAAAAATGAATTCACTCATTTTGTTTTAAAGCATCTATTGGCACTACAAGGGCAGGTACAAACAAGCCAAAACACAACAACAAAGACGTATAAATTTTACATAATATCAACAAAAAAATGAAATCCACAGCATTAAAATCCAACTTTTCTTTTCATATTTAACTGGCAGTTTGATACAACAGATAAGGGGGAAAAAACATTAAAAATAAGGAAAAACTAAGATGTGAAAGCCCCTGCAGAAAGTCCCTAAAGTGCAACTTAGGATGTACAACAAACTATACAAACACATTGTTTTACATGGTTTTCAATCATTTGGATCAAACGTGCTGACATGTTTTTGTCTTTTTAAAAAAGGTGTTGTTAAGACATATTCATCTATTTTTAAAAGAAAAAAATTAGTTACGTTTACCATCTTCTCATTTTTGAAATTAGGGAAATAATTATACTAGTATCTGGATTATTGCATTTTATGTTTTATATAATTTTTTATCTTAATATCAGTTGATTCTTTCAGGTAAAAGAAAAACAGAATTCGATTTTGGGACCTAATTAAAGGCCAACTAACCCATTTTAAGACATGAACCGTAATTAAATAACAGTTTAGTTATTGGGTGAAAATAATAATTATAACACGTGAATAATTCTGTCCAGCAGCAGAGAAGAAAGAAGTAATGGGCCATGTGTGATGCAGGCCGCTCAGGATGAAGGCCTGGTGTCACTTCTGATCCATGTTGAAATTGGTCTGAGCTCTGCAATGAAAAAATAAAAATAAAAATCATTGTGCATGCCAAATAATACTTAACCATTAAAACACTTTAAGTAAACAGATTTCACAGTATTGTTCCGAAAAAATGTATATTTTAATAGATTCAGATTAGCGTTAACATTTGGATAAATGTTGTTTGTGCATAATCGGACATTTGGCTTGAAATCTTATAGAGCCACGCTACAGTTCTTTTCTATTGATAGAATCATCTCCATTTCAAGTCAACATTACTAATGTGACCAAACATCAAGGTGACTTTGAAGAGCAGCACATGCGGAGCTGTGCTGTGAAAATCAGCAAACAGCACAGGTGAGCCTCATGTGGACTCACTTAGCTCAGGGTCAGCATCAGCATATCATAATGTAGCCCTCACAGAGTGACAGCAGAGGTGCCATGCTGTCTGCAGATACAACCTGGCCATATGTGTTCACACACTATGAACAGAAATTCCCAACAAAGGGCAGGAATAACACTGAGTCACATGCAGCTTGGGAAGTTTGTATATGCTGCCACCAAGAGGACACTGAATGAATCACATGTCACAGCAACAAAGGCACCATGCCTGCATCATGCGTTGTGTAAGGAGAACAGCGTGTCTCTAGAAACAGTGTTGTCTGATGAAGTAAGGGACACTTACATTTCTTGGTTCAGCATGTGGTTGTTGTAATGAAGGACTGGTAGTTCGCTCTCTTCATCGTCAGGAAGCTGTGAAAAATTAGACATAATGATCTTGTCATAGCAAAACACGCTTGTCAAGGTCATAACATGGAAAATTATGAACTGAAATTCTGTAAATAGAGGACTGACACAGCTCACTTAGTTTAAAAAACAAAACAATGGAAAAACGGTCGAACTGGAAAGGAACACATAATAGTCAAATGTCGCAGAACAGGAATAGCACAACAAACTGTAAATCACAGCCAGGATGAATATTTATGTAAACATAAGACCCTTTGACTATCTCCTGTAATGCATTGTGGCTGAACTTGCTGACGAACAGAAGTGCCTCGAGTCAGCAGGTTTGAATAAAAGCTGACTGACGCTGCAGATTATTCATGGTCAGGGTTTTGGCATGATGTGTCTCTAAACTTACTCAATACACAACATTTTAACAAAAAGAAACATTTCAAATGTTATGAAAAGTCAATTGAAATCATTTTTAAAAATGCAATCTTGAGATTTCTAGTTTTTCATTTTGTACAAGTTTACATTTTCTGTAATAATAATCTACACACTAAATTGACAGTCTCTATCAATGTTCCTGTTTGAAATTGGAAACCTCTCGTTTCTTTAAATAATCATCTCTCACCTCCCAGTAGTGCTCATCATCAAAACAACTGTCATCTGCAGGATCTCCCCAGATAGGTAATCTTAAAATACAACCTGAGAAGAACACAAATAAAGTCATTATTGTAACACACTCAGTAATCTGTCAAGTATGTTTACATAAGCTACAAACATTGTGTAACACCTATAAGCATCTGTTTGTTGCCACGTTTATGATCCAGCTAAATGACAGTTTCAGTGGTTATTCCCTTACCGACAATGATGCCTCCACCTACACCGAAGCAGATTGCCACACAGAGTGCTGCAGCCTGTAGACCCCCCTGCCGAGTGGGAGCCGTGTTTTCGAAATCACCCTCGAAGTCAAAGGTGTTTATCAGCCTTTAACGCAAAAAGAAAGAACCTTATAAAAGTTGACGTTAATATGTACTATCACCACATTGTTTTTATGATCCTGCTCTCTCCTATTTGTAAGCGGGGGCCACTCACCCTTCTTTTCCATAAACTGATGCAGATGCAGCTGCAGCAGTAATGGCCCCCACAATGCCACCTATGACACCGGGAATGGCATGCAGGTTATGGATCCCACATGTGTCCTGGATCTTTAAATACTTCTCCATGAATGGCTGGAAGAGACATGATTTATAAAGAAGTCTTAGCTGCACAATTTGACTTCATGCTAAGATACATGGATTGTGAAAAACAGCTGATTTAAGAAAAAGTTTAAGTATTGATAAAGTAGTGGCAGTAACACCTCCTGTGCTCAATAAGTTATCTATCAAATTAACTCTAAATCACCAAACTTAAATGTAGAGAAAAATAATTAGTTAGCAAATAGAAAATGTATATTGAAAGTATTTTCTTCTTTTATGTTTCCTTGAATAGGTCAATTTTTATAGCTTATTTCTTTGGTTGACTGATGCATCCTAACGTTCATCTCATAAGAACTCAATGGCTTACTGAGAGGTAGATATAGCCGAGTGTGGAGATGATGCCACAGCAGAATCCTACAATCAGAGACCCGTAGGGCATTAGCATGAACTCTGCTGCAGTTCCTACTGCAACACCTCCAGCAAGAGTGGAGTTCTGGATATGAACCTGAGCAACAAGTGTAGAAAAATAAATGCATCCGTTAATGACAGAAATATAATTGATGTAACTGTTTGTGTTTACTGGATAATGTGTAAAAACAAACGGTGCTGGCCGTTACCATGTCTAGTTTCCCGTGCTTCTGAAACAGGCTGGAGATGGCCACAGTGGTGAGCACAGTTGAAGCCAAAGAGAGGTAGGTGTTTATGGCTGCTCTGTGCTGCCCATCGCCGTGGTCTGCGATGGCTGAGTTGAAACTGGGCCAGAACATCCACAGGAAGAGGGTGCCTGTATGCAGAAAGCAGGGTGGACTTAAAAAATCGAGCTGCTCTTCCAGAATTAAAGTAACTGTGAAAGTGTAAAGAATGGATATGTAATTGAATCATAATCACCAATCATAGCAAAAACATCTGAGTGGTACACGGAGACCTGCAGACGACTGCTCTGGTCCAGGCTTGGTCGATACAGCATCCACGAGATGGCAAGACCATAATAAGCTCCAAACGTGTGGATCACCATAGATCCTCCGGCATCTCTGGCCTTTAGGAAAGATAAAGAAACATAAGCATTAAGAGTAATAGCATTAGAGAAAATGTGTTCTTGGCGGGAGGTTTATCACTTGCACTTCAAAAGTATTGTGAACTGACTTTGGCCACAATGTTTTATTTTCTGTCTCTTCAAATGCAGACCATTAAACTGACTCCTCTTCTGCTATCCCATCTGGATGAGATTTATTGAATCCATTATTGTTTTAAATTCTTTACAACATTTAAATGGATTTGCTGATCCTGGATACCAAAAGATGTGACTTCCAGACCTAGATCCATCTCATCATTTGAATAAACTTTGCCGTGGTTACTCCTTAAGAGGAGGCATGGTTTTTCAGACAGAAAGTTGCTGAATGTCACAGCTTCTTGCTGATTGAGGTTCAACACATCTAGTACTAAATCTAACCTACAGTCTGTGTGTTTTGTGGGGTGTTATGTTCTGTTTTAAACCTAGAGCTGGATATATTCATTAATTGTATAAAAGGAGAAAAAAAATTCAACCCACATGAATGAGATCAATAATGATATACTCCTCCACAGCGAACAACGTGATCCCAAACAGAGTAAGAACCATTAGCTGGACTGGACTGACTTTACCGAGCACTGCGCCATAGGCGATCAAACAGCCTGCCACACAGAAGTCAGCATTGATCAGGCTGAAACAAAAACAGTTAAGATTCAGGGAATTATAAAGAAGCACCTGAACAAGAACCATCATACCATCACTTAAACAATAATAAACTGTAAATCTTATCTCACTCTCTTACAGAAACACACAGAAGTACAACTATTATATACACACTGTGACTTGGTTGCACTTAAGCACTGTCACCTCATGATAAATACATTGAGAACTTGAGAAAAACCTCAAAATTACTTTTCAATTCCTATTCTGATCTTTCCATCATCGTCAAGGGAGTGGAACCAGCCTTGCATTAGCAGCGCCCACTGGAGGCCAAAAGCTGCAATAAGGAAATTGAAACCCACGGCACCGAAACTGTACCGCTTCAGAAATGTCATCAGGAAGCCAAATCCAACAAAGATCATCACATGGACGTCCTGGAAACCTATAGGGCAAAAACAGATAAAGGGAGAAGTAAGGAGGATGACTGGAGCTGGAACAATGAAAAGAAAAGACTGTGTTGTTATTCAATCGTTGGCCCTTTTCTGTACAGAGCTGGCATGCTCAACACTTACAGCATACAGTATGGATAATACTCTGGGAAGCAGACACAGCTGTTAGCTCGTGTTTTATTTGGCAAATGTTTCTGGTCCCACTTCAGTAAGATTATCACCTGCCCTAATTCAGGTTTGATACAATAACTGACAGGTGAGCTGCAGCTGTGCATTATGCATAGAAACTAGATGTTGGAATTAGCTACCTATACTCAATGTAATGACTGGTTGTGGTGTCCAGAGATATTATTGGTCTGCACCTGTTAATGTTTTGATTTTAGTTTGATGCTTTCTTTGAAAATATTTTTGATCTAAACATATTTCCCTCTTCCTCTGTCAGTTTCATAGTCTTCCTGTAAACAGTGATCCTTATTACAACTGGCTGGAGGTCATTCTGGTTGTTTGTGTCAAAAAAAGCTGATTAAAGGAAAGAAAAACATAAACATTATTATTTTTTGGGCAACTCCCCCCCCCAAGTAATTCAACTTTAATCTTATCTGATGGTGACTTCATAATATTGTTATTAGGGTTGTTATAAAGCATTATGTAAAGATGAGTATAAATGAATTACATGTACTTCTGCATGAATGCTACGCACGTGGAGACATTGTATACAGACAGTTTGCTTTGACAACATGAAGTCACCACTGTGCAAGGGCCACGTGAGGGGCATATTAGATCAGAGAGAGGAATCTCATGGTGATGACAAGGACATCACTAAAATAAATTACCTTCAGAAATGTTGATATTAGACATTTATCTGAAATGTATTAGCTTAAAAAATCCAAAGAGACAAGAAAAAAACATGATATGCATCCATTGTAATGCAAAATTAAAATACTAGAACGAGAAGGAAAAAATTACATAATCAAGATTAATGGCTCAATGGTAAATGACAGCAACTATATCTTACATGGATATCAATGAGATTTGATTGAAAGCTTAAGTAAGATTGTGCTGAATTTTTTTTTTTTTGCAAGATCACAAATTAATCTTCAAGCTCCATTCTAATAAACATAACTACCGGTACTTTGAACATAAAATGCACAGAGCTTATTTTTATTGTTGGTAATAAACACATTTGAAACCATTCAATAAGGTGTCTCTACTTTGTGGGACAGTCACTGTCTACTATAACCACTAAACAACAGTATGTGGACATACCAGCATAAACAATAAAGTATCCCTTTTCAACGCAACACTGGAATTGTTTGGGCCACCTCAGGGAAACAATAGCTTCATGAATAATTTCCATCAAACACGGTGTAATGTTTACAGCCGAACAAAGAAAAAAATGCATCGGACATGTCAGGCTGTATCTTGACAATACAGACAGTGGGCTTAGTGTTAGAAAACTGTGTACCGTGACGTTAGCATGATGTCTTATTAGTCTCCTGAGAGCAAACTGTGTCAGCACATACATTTGATCTTCTGATATCCAACACCAGATGTGAGATGTGAGATGGCTTCATGACACTGACTGTTGAGCGAAGAGTTCACTACAGCCACACCCATACAATACAATCACATGCACACACCAAATATACAAGCAATCAATAGATATGGTTACAATAAACAAATTCCATCCACAAAAAGAGGAAAGGTATTTCAGCTCAAATGAATCAAGAGAGAACAATCTGAGCGTCAGGGGAAATGTGCACCTGTGAGTGATCCTGCAGCATCTGATAGATCAGCACAGCCTTAGAATTATCATCAATTAGTTTATTCAAGAAGAAATGTATTATAATGCAATTAAAACTCATAATAACAGTCCACACATTCATGAAAGGAGAAAAATGTTTTGAGATGTTATGTATTAAAGAAAGTTGAAACTTAAGTATATTAGTGAAACAATTGTTAAAAGAAATACAAAGTTACTTACTTGGATATCTGAAGTAGAAGTCATTCTCAATGTCACTTGATATATTGTTAATTTTCCTCTCCTCTATCCAGTGTGGATCTGATTCCTTGTTGTAACGAACAAACACCCCAAACAAGATGATCATGGCTGTTTGCCAAACGAAGCAAACCGCTGGAAGACTCAGACGGACGTTTGTGTTTTTTGTACGGTCGCACATTTCCCTGAAGCTTTGAACGCAGCCCATTGTTTTTGGTTAAAATAAAATTCTCTAGTGTTCTTTAAAGGCCTTGAGCATCTCAAGCACAAGTGAAGATGAACAGAGAAGGGTGTTTGCTTTATTGTGAGGACACTCCCACCGTCACTCCCTCCACTAGTGTACTTGAAATGAACTTGACTTATTTCTTTAATGATCTGAAATGTTCATACAGACAAACATAAGAGAATAGCTTCAACACCACTATTGCTAAGTGGTAATTTATCCCCCCCCCCCCAACTATTCTGTATGAGTGTAAAGCATCACAGTTTCATAAACTGATACTCATAATAAAGGACAGTTGAAACTTTGTGTCAAACTGGAGAAAGAAGATATCTCGTGGGACATCCCGTAAACACATTGTGTTGGATTCTAAACTGGTAAGGTTAAACAAGGTTATAACCCGCCCAGTTAAAGAGGGATTGCATAGTTTTGAATTATTTTTATAAACATCCTCCCTTTGTGCAAAAACTCTTGTCAGAGAAAGATACACTCTTTTGTACAACATGATATCCGATCGTAAATATGTAGACAGTCCTCTAGAGCACCTGTTTTTTCCTATTAGCAGTCAGAGGGTGGGGTATTTTTGCTCTCCTCTGCAGGGCTGATCTCTGAAGCATCAACTGTAAATAACGTGTATTCATGCTGGGCCCCATCAGAAAGATGCATGACAGGTTTGTCTCAAGTCAACCATCGCAGGTTCAAGGTGGAGACATGGCTTATTTTTATTCTTTTTACAACGAGTCTGGGTTTCTGCCCTGTTTTTAAGGCCTATATAAAATAATCGATTTTACTTGAATTATTATTCATATTCTTCAATAAAAGTAGTCTTTCATTTTTTATGGGAGAGTATACAGTTGTCTCTAAAGTAAAGCATTAACACAAGGGAAATATGCCACAAGACTGTATGTTGAATCTGTCCAAGAAGCCAATGGCTACTGAGCTTAGCTTTGCATAAAGATTGGAAACAGGCTCAAAGCTCAACTTGCTCTATTAAGAGGTTTAAACTAAAATCTACCACTAAGTGTTCTGAAAGCTCACTATACAACACAAACTACCATTATTATATACGACTATCTTTTGGATAGCTATACGTGATTCAATGTATTCACATAGTGCCAATTTTTGTATATTGTACAAAAACATTGATTGGGATCACAAATTATGCTAAAATGTGTCGCTGCTGTGTTCCAGGTTATAAGTTGTTTAGAATTCTAGTATCATTTCACCTGCATTCAATAAATAAGCAACTTCAGACATAATTGATAATAAATTAGCAGGTTCTGCGGGCTGTATTCCCAGTTTAAACAACTCATTTGATAACCTTTAAATCTCAAGCTAGAAAGCTAGGAAGTGCATTGGAAGCTAACATTTCTAGCTATATTACTTTTAGCTAGAAATGAACCTTTTATAGCCTACTGTATTATTAAACATTATCATACTTTCCAGCTAACGGTACTATAGCTAGTGAGGAGAATGCTAATCTTAGAAGGTCAATTTGCAAACATGAGTGTTGCCAGTAGACTTAACAGGTAGTTTTGTCTTTTTCAGTTTTTAAATTAATATTTGCGTATCAGCTGCTAGCATTGGATGAGCAGGTAGCATCAGAGGTTAGCAAGTAAATAATAGGTAAGCAGAAAGTAATGTTTTTGGGGGCAGTTCCTGTGTTGATGTTTTGTCCCTTTGTCTTACCTATGGTGATGTTTAGAGTAAACTTCTCCGTTCTTGACCCACGCAACGTTTACAGTGGCAAAAGGATGAACATACACACACGTGACTGACAGGACTTTCTGGATAGCAATATCCACACCTACCTCTTGTTTATTGTGTCAGGAAGGTCAAAGTCACAAAACTTGAGATAATACAGCAGCATGTGAAACTGTCTATTTTCTCACATGTCCTCTTATGATGGAAAAGGGAATATTTGTCTTGAAATAACCGGTTAATATAGTGATTGTTTTTTAAAAGAAAGCAGGTGACTTTCTTTAACAATAACAGCTTTTATAACATACTGTAAATCCTCACTTACCCACTTTAAAATTATTTTAAAAACCCTTACTAAACCTCTGAAACATTGTATTCCAACCACTTAGAGCACAGACGAGACGTATCATCATTTTGAGTAATAAAGAATAAAAGATCAATGATCAAATATGGAATGAATGTTTATTTATTTTTATTTTTACAAAATAGGCTTCCATGCAATTTAAGATGTTACCTTTGTTTTTTTGGGGGAAATATTGTTGCCAAAACCCCTGAAAACAGAGCTCTAAATATGGTTAATACATTAAAAAACAGACTTATTTTTAACAAAGTCCAAAGCAAATATATTTTACATTAAATGAATATGAATCCAGCTAATATATAGGCATAAGGAAACTCTTTAATTAAAACGAGTGAGATGGTATCTGTGCTCATTGATCTTACTGCTTAGCTGAGCACTGCTACCTTGGTGATGTAAATCTGGCAGATGATGCGCTCTTTGGGGATGATGTGTAGCATTGATAGACTGATTTACGCAGGCTTGCTTGCTGAAGCAGCTCTTCCATCTTGAAGGGGGAGAAATGTAATGCTTTTTTTTTTGTCCACAAGTTGTCCAGATATTGTAAACGTTATACAGAACATGTTAGTATTAGAAGCTTAATTCTACATTAATTCGAGTGCCAGCTAAACATTTTAAATGTAGAAATCAGTGTAGATTTCTGAATACATCCTAAACATGCCAAGTTCAAAATAAAAATAAAAATGGTTCAAAGTTATTAAGGAGCTATTTGAACATGACAGCTAATACCTTTACCCTTTCTTTTCTTCCACTTTGGCTCCAAGGCAAAATCTGATACTCACTGTTGTCACAAAATGAAAATTTCAGTTTATGGAACTTTAATGTTGAACCATCCCGTTTCACTTTGATACAAACCAACAGCCTGACAGCAACACCTTTTGTTTTCCATTCATCTTCATCTTGTAAAACAAACTCTCCAAACGAAGTAAAAAAGAGGATAAATCAGACGGATCAAGCTGCTACTTAGCCTCCTGACCTGCTGCTGAACTGACAGACAGATGTAGCGTGCAGAGCTGTCAATCAAACCTGCCACAACCCTTATATGGGCATTTTTCACACACAGCGTGAGGACATGAGGTCACTAACTAATCAGATGTATCTCGTTTTTTGAACCAGGTTAATTCCTGTGGTAAAAACGAGCTGTGGGCTTATGGCACTTCCGGCGCTTCTGCAGCCAGCCTCAAGCGGACACTCGAGGAACTGCAGTTTTTTATACTTCCGCAGTGGCTTCATTTTCCGAGACCAGAGGTCGCCCCTTGGTCTAACCACAAACCTGTTCACAATGAGAGGATAGAGCCCATGTCGCTAAAAATGTTAATTTACATCCAGGTTTTAGGACTCATTCCTGTGGCACCCTATATAAACATTCAACAGAGCAATATTATAACAACATAAAGAGAAATGTTCACAAATTATGACATCATATCCAGAATTATGAGGTCATAGTATGTTGGCAACAAATCAAAACAAAACAACAAAATAATTCCGGAACTCTGGACTCTCAAAGAATCATCACAGAATCATCACAGAATCATCAAAGAATCATCAAAGAATCATCAAAGAATCATCAAAGAATCATCAAAGAATCATCAAAGGCTTTTAGAATGTAGAATTTAGGTATAAAACCCAATACACTAAGCTAAGAGGCACAGACACTCATCAGTTCACGGATCAGATCTGAGACACTAGTCAGTGAGATATTTTAACAAGTACAACAAGTACTCTAAACTACTCGACATCTAAGTGACCAAATCTCTGAATCTCATCAGAACAGCAATGGAACAAAAGACTGAATCAGAGTCCCTGAGCTGGGGTGATATCATGGACATGGAGATGGAGGATGAGGACTTGGTATATATCATGCCATGGACCTGTCAGCAAAACCAGTCCAGAGAGGTCCCCATGGAGCCACAAGATAATACTCCCTCTGAAAGGGTGGAGGAAGGCCAGGGGCAAAACCAGCAAAGAGAGGTCCCCATGGAGCCACAAGATAATACTCCCTCTGAAAGGGGCGAGGAAGGCCAGGGGCAAAACCAGCAAAGAGAGGTCCCCATGGAGCCACAAGATAATACTCCCTCTGAAAGGGGCGAGGAAGGCCAGGGGCAAAACCAGCAAAGAGAGGTCCCCACTCACCCACAAACTAATCCTCATCCCCAAAGGGTGAAGGTAGGCCAGGGGCAAAACCAGCAGAGAGAAGTCCCGGCCAAGACACAAGCTAATCCTCATCCTCAAAGGGTGGGGGGAGGCTACGGGCAGCACCAGTACTCCTACCAGGGCCCCGCTGGTCCCTGGTATGCGAGACGCCCACCCCCTCCCAGATGGCAGGTGGAAAATGATCTCAGGGGTCGCCTGAGCGACGCAACCTACCATCTAAGACAGGAGAGAGGGATGAGGCAAGCAGTGGAGCACACCAATGCCATCAACAAGAGCAAGCTGCAGGAGTTACGAGAAAGGGTGAAGGAGGAGCGTAACAGCACACTCGAGCGTGAAAAAGATATCAGGATGTTAAAAGAACAGCTGAAACACCTGAATCCATCCTTCAGTGTACCGGACATGAAATATTATTCCTGCAAAACAAAAGAGGAGCTCATAGGTGTGATTGACGCTCAAAATAAAAAGCTCCAGGAGAGTGCCTCAGCTAATACAAAGTTGGATGAAACACTGAGAGCTGAAATCAACACCCTGGAGAAGGAAATGAAGGCCATGCAGGATCAGCTGCAGGAAAAGACCAGCAGCAGCCTTGATCTAGCCTTAAAACTGGAGGCTCAGGAGGAGGCTAGTCGGGCGAAGATGGAGGAGCTTATAAGACAGCTGGAGATCTGTATGTCGGAGTCAAGTGCATCTGACTTCACTCTAAGGGAGGATTACACTTTAGACTCTGTCAAGGAAACTCCTGAGGAGGTCAAAGAAGAGACAAAAAGTCTGAGTC